AGTGGCACTAAATCAGAATGCAAAAAAGTACTCGAGACCGTTCTGAGGAATAGAAGGCTCTGCTCTCTTTTGTCTCCGTTCTTCACTCCCAATGCTGCACCCGTGGAGTTCATACAGCTCTATGAGAAAGTGGTGAAGTTTCTAAGTGAGGACAACAGTGACATGATTTTCATGCTGCTGACCAAGGTGAGTCACATGTGATACAGTCCTGATGTTATCACTGAGATGTAGAAACGATTGCTTTGCCCACTCCACAGAAATGAAAGGCTTTCTGGAGTTCTGTTTCCAGGTAGACCGTAGGCTCACAGGCCCCTTTCACATTTTGCATGACCTTTAAGCAGCCCGATCCCATAGCTTCCTGTTATGGGGGTGTCAGTTGTGTTGTGTGGGGCAGTTTTATTCCACTATAAAAAGGACCTAGCTCCCAAACCCTCTTAAAACACTAAGTACAGTTTTGAAATATTCATAATAGTAATTTAGTACATCCTTCTTTTGAATTTATCCTGAATTTATGCCTCAATTGTGTTTGATAAATGAGTTGTAATATGTCCAAGTCTCTCATATTTGGAAAAAGCCAGATCTAAGCAAATTGCCTTTGTCCTCATTTCAAGTTGAATGTTAACTCAGACCAAGGCAATGAATTTACTTAACCGGTTGAGAATTTTGGAGCTGTAGCTATTTTGCCTTCAATGGTATTTCTCTGACATCTGTGAGTCATAAAACCTGGTAATTTTTTAGGGCCTAGAGACTGATCTCAATCTGTAATGGGGGAGAACATGTCTTATAGTTTGGGGTTCTGGAAGGTGTTATCAACACCTTGCATTTTTATTCACTGAGGTGACTGATGCAGACTCAGAAACATGGCCCTTAGCTGGAGACAGTTCTGTCAAGTGCCAGCTTGTGTGTGGCACTGTGACCAGTGAAAGAGAGCTACAAAGCTCTGCTTGTCTTTTAGGGAAAACTTATGAACAAGATCTTTAAATTGCAGAAAAAGCATGTGGAGCTGAGAAAACTCTGCCTCTGCTGTCTGAGAGTGGAGAAGCGATGGAGGCATAATGGCACCCATCAATTACTGAACTGCCCAGATTCTTTTCGGTACTTGTTTAGAAACTGTAGTTTAAACCTTGATGAAAAGGTAAAGGCTAGGCAATCTTTGACTTTTAAACTATCCAAATTTGCACAGACTTTGCTCTCCTTCAGTTAATTTTCTAGTGTTAAAAAAACTGCTTCTCATTTCTTTTTCTTTTTAGTTCGATCTGAAGCAATGGTTAAACGCAGTGAAGCCTCCTCTGTCTGATCGCACCAGACTCCTGGAGTCCATTCATTCGGCGCTTACCGCCTGGGGCCTTGAGCCGGATGAAGACATTTTGATGCCATTTAATCTCTTCTGTAAGCACTGGACTTACCTTCTCCTCTACCAGTTTCCTGACCAGTACAGCGACACCCTCAGGCTGCTGATGCAGAGTAAGTGTCTTTTAGTTGTGACTGATGAGATCGCAGTGAATTTTCATACCACATTTAGCATTCTACAGATATCATCCAAACATGTAAAAGTAACACAAGTGTGCAGGGGTTTAGAGTGACTGATTTTCACCTGAAGTACTCAATGAACAGTCCCCCAAATGTTACTACCTGTAAAAATGGTCCTTCATTGTTTATAACGTGAGAGCAGGCACTTGTGTTGGAGTCCACATGTATGTGCCCATCTCTCTACCTCACCTTAGCAGCTGTCCTGAATGGGGTGGGATGGAGGTGGGCCTGCTTCTTCTGCCAACTACAGACTTGGTAAGAGAAGGAAGTTGCTTTTTATATGCCAGTTGGATTCTCTGTCGTTCTAAATAGTGGGTACATTTTGTTCTATTTTCCCCCTAATTTTTTTTTTTAAGATTTTATTGGGGAATTGGGGGAGGGGAACAGATAAGTTACTGTCCTTTTATTCTTCAGTCTAGTTGTGGAGGACGTCACTTCACTGGCCCATGTTGGTATTATCATTGCGCTCTTACTGGCTGAGGCAGTCGCTTGCCAGCCATCGGACGGCCGCTCATGGCAGCTCAAGGCAGCTCACGAAGGCTCATGCCAGCTGCCAGCCAGCCCCACTGCAGCCTACGCCGTCGTTGGCGACTTACGGCAGCCCAGCTCCAGGCTGAGCTGTTGTTCAGCATCTTAGCTGTAGAAGGTGCAGCATCACTGGCCCTCATGTGGGATCCGAATCGGGGTCCTGCTGCTCAGAGCTGGTGTCCCAAGCCAACTCCTAACCAATGCCCCAGTCGGCCAGTTCCCCCTACCCCTAATTTTTTTGACTCTCTTTGCCAATGAATTTGATCCCTGTGTAATGCTAGACTATATTTATATTTGCCAAAGGAAAGACAGCATTAAATTTTCTGTATTCCCACCATTCCTGTCCCCTTCCTGTAATTTTCCATTGGAGTATGGAGATCAGAGGAGAAATAAAGGATGTAGGCTTTCTTATTTTGGGAATTTCACTAGGCAGGGATTTTATTGAAATTTGAAAAATGAGATCAAATTTACTTTTTCATGAAAACTTGATACTGTTGATAGATGTAATGGAAAACTAAATTTTGCTTTGTGCCAAATCTTTGTGCTTTTTAGTGGAAAGTGTTTAATGAATAAGTTAATGACCTTGTGTATTAGACTACCTTAAAAATACTCATACGCACCTGAAACTAATAAAAACAATAAATTAAAAAAAGGAAAAGAATACTTGTACGGAAATATGCGGTCTCATTTTCAAAGCACCTCAAGCTTTCTTGTTTCCTACAGTGGGAAGTTGCAGGGTAGGTGGAGAACAGTGGCAGGGAAGTGTATTTGTACAATTTTTGATGCATATTTGCATGGCTGATTTTTGTTCTAAATTTTCAAAATATGATCAAATATATGTTGTTTTTTTTTCTCCTGAGATCTTTCAAAGAGATTATAAACTATTTATATAGACAACCATTGACTTGCATGGAGCAGGAAATTTATACTTCTCAGAAGTAATTCAGTTAAAGGCTTAAGAATAACAGTACCACCCACCTCTGTCAGATTCCATAGCCTCCAGCCTCCTGTTTCCCATCCCTCCTTGGCCACCATGTTGGTGTTCCCAGGGTTCCATCCTTTGCTCCTCTGTTCTCTCCATTTGCCTTGGGTGAGCCTGTTGTTTCCCCTGGCGTCACTGCCGTCTTCTAGGTGTGCCTGACTCCCACGCTGTAGCTTGAGCCCAGACCTCTGCCCTAACGTCCAGACCACAGTGGCGGTTGGACACTGCCCCTCCCGTCCCCTGGACATCTCATACTCAGAATAGTGCCCCTGACCTCATCATCCTTCCCCTCAGACCTGCTCCCCTGAGCCTCTGTTATCCTGTTGGATCCTCATGTCACCTCTGGGTGGAAAGGACCTGGGAGATATTATTCCTGTCCTCTGGAATGTGAAGTGTGTAAGCGGCGGAGTGCTTGCTGGCTGGTAGTCTCGACTTTGGCATGCTGTCTGTGTTGCTTTAGGTTTTGCCCATTGTAGGAGTGGAGTTTTAGGGGTAACTATAAAACACCTTCTGATGAGAGCCCACACGCTGTCATTGTGTCTGCACCCAGGGGCCCTCGTCCCGTCACCATTGTTTTCTCTCACATCATCCGGCCAGGAAAACGGCTCCTTACCATTCATTCCCCAGTAAAGGTCTGATAGGTAGGATTTTGCTCCCAGATTCAAGCTCAAATGGCTCCAGCTGTGTTCACTCCAAACAGGGTTAACAGGAACAAGGAAAGTCAGGCGTTTGGGTAGATAGTTCTTTTAATAAGTTCTCTTTCCTCTGGATTCTTCACAGATGAATTTGTTTGGGATTCTTATTTAATATTCATTCCTTTGTAAAAAACATATGTTCTTTGATTCAAGTTAAAAATTGTAGTTTGTGAAAGCTGCTGACTTTCTGTCCTCTGTCCCTGCCCTGTAAGGCTCTGCTGAGCAGCTGCTGAGCCCTGAGTGTTGGAAAGCCACGCTGAGAGCCCTGGGCTGCTGTGCCCCGAACTGCCAGCAGGGGGCACCTTCTGCCGAGAGCACAGTGCTTCAAAGCTCCCAGGATGCTCTCTTGTCAGACAAGCAGGTGTGTAGCTTTTGGAGTCTGACGTTTTTGTCTCTGCATTTCTTTTCCATTTCCTTTGCTATTTAAATAATTGGAACACATTTAAATTTAGATCTAAAAAGCTGCTTTTTTGTGCATTATCTTTAAGAGCCCTGTGTTTTTCTTTTCAGTCACTTGCTCCCCCACTTTCCCTTTGTCTGGGTAGCCTTTCTCTCACTCCTCAGTCTGATTCTTGCTCATCTCTTCAAGAGCAGCTGGGCCTACGCCTTCCACACCTTACCTCACCTGCTTCTTAACCTTGTACACTGGCTCCTTTGGTTAGGGTTTCATGCAGTGTCCCACAGAGCTCTCAGTTCTATCAATTTTGTATGATATGGGTCCACATGAAAATTTGTTTAAAAGAATGGTTCCTCTGCTTTAAGAAGTCTGTTGATTTACTTTTCACATGCTGTATAGTTTTTCAACTCTTGCAGAGTCAAAGCCTTCCCTCACAGTGTATGGTAACACTCTACTGAAAGGAGACATTCAGTGAGCATTTTTTAACCAGTTATTCTCTTCCAGGTAATGGAGACTATACAGTGGCTCTCAAACTTTTTTTATAAGCTTCGGTTATCCACATTAGACTTTAAAAGTTTTGGTTTATTCTCAAAATGGAGTCCTTACATGGATGGTATGAAGATACTCTTGGGCTATCTTGTGAAAAGGCTGCTTGACTCAGAAATGGCCTGCTTGGCGCAAAACCCATCTGCCAACAGCAAAACAGGTAATACACCTTTAGTGCTGCATAGAGCTGGGTGATCTGACCTTCTCTTAGAAGTGACTTGAATACACACATTAAGAGATTTAGATCTTTGCGATAAAACTATATATCTGAGTGTCAAGCAGAGGAAATGGAAAATATATAGCATAGGTGTGAACCCATATGTGTGTCATACTTGTGCTCATTTAGACAGTAGATGCTTGCTTCAGCTTGTCTCTGCCCCTCCTTTGTGGGGCGGAGTACAGAGATAGGTTTCAATCGCCACCTCTTTCTTACTATTATTTGTCTCGCTAAGGAAAGGGTCCTGAATATTTAAGCATTTATCTTTTAAGAAATGTACATTATAAAATTATCCATGACATTTTGTAGTACAAATTTTCAGTTCAAGAAATTCCATTGTAGCAAATGAGAACATAAACATGCATACATTAAACTTTTTTTTTTTTTCCTAATTCTTTTGGGTCTGGCTTCTAATCTGCCATCTTGGACCGTCTTTTTTTTAAAAAAAAATTTGTTTTTATATCAACATAGTTTATGGGTATACAGACAATAAGTAGATTTTCTGTATAGTGTTATCAATGATATTGAGAAAGGATACACTTGTTTCTGTCTCTAAAAATTTTGCTTTGTTTTAGTGCTGAGATCCCTGCATTCATTAATCATCCAGCTCTTTAAACCGTGGATCCTGGTTTTAGGGGACAATGAAAGGTAAATTGTTTTTCAGATATTCAAATTCCTTTGAAATTTATAGACTTAAAGTTATTTATTTATGTATTTATTTATGTATTTATTTATTTATTTTAAAGATTGTATTGGGGAATTGGGGAAGGGGAACAGACAAGTTGCTGTCCTTTTGTTCTTCAGTCTACTTGTGGAGGACGTTGCTTCACTGGCCCATGTTGGTGGTATTGTGCTCTTCCCGGGTGAGGCAGATAGGTCACCAGCCACTGGACAGCTTCTCACGGCAGCTCTTGGCTACTCACACTGGCTGCCGGCCGCTCACGCACGGTAGCTCACAGCAGCCCACTGCAGCAGGGGCTGCAGCCTACACCGTTGCCAGCGACTCAAGGTAGCCCAGCTCCAGGTTGAGCTGTTGTTCACCATCTTATCTCTAGAGGGCGCAGCGTCACTGGCCCTCACATGGGATCCAAACCGAGGCCCTTCTGCTCAGAGCTGGCGTCCCAAGCCAATTCTTAACCAATGCACCACTCGGCTGGCCCTACCTAGACTTAAAGTTCTGATGGTGTCTTGATACAAGCGATGCATTCACAGATTTAATTTTTTTAAGTGTAAGGCCATATTTAAATTTAGAAAATGCTTCTTTATGAAAGAACCTGAAGATATTTTCTGTTAGTGAAATTTTTAGTCTGGCTGATCAGAGAGCTATCATCTTGATACGAATTTTGAAACAAAACTGGACACTCATTTGTAGTTTTCTACAATAAAGAAGTTGAATGAGTGTTGGTACTTAATTTCAGAAAAACGGATGCTGCTCCCCTTAATTAGGTTTGAATAATATGACATTAAAAATATGAGACTAATTTATCTTATCCAGTATTTCACTTATTTTTTGGAGTTAAGTTGGCTTCCAGATTAGTGATGGGAATTACCCTTTTAACTCTGCAATTAAATGAAAGCATTATTTCATGAGCATTTAGGACAGAGGTGGGGCTGTCCAAGTGACTCCTTATGAGTCTTGTTTTCCCCAAAAGCATACAAACAAACTAGGCGAACTTGACGAGAATATTGTAAAATTTTAATAGTGCTAGACATCACAGTATTTAAGGTGTTTTCACAAATATTGATTAATCTGATCCCGAGACTCAGAAAACTTGAATGTCTTGCTCCTGTCCTGTAGCCAGTGAGGGCCAGAACTGGGGCCAGAGCCCGGGGCTTTTGACTCCTTTGCCGGGACTCTGCTTTAACCCGTGCTGCTTCCTTGAGGAAAATAGAAAAGGTTCTGGATCTTTGCTTTTGCTACAGGGCTATTCTTAAACAAGCTGCAAGCTTCAGGATTTTGTAGCGACTGTTTGCTGATTATAATGCAGCCTCCTGTTTATTTCCAGGAAGAATTAATGGAATCGATTTTGATATTGAACTTTCTGGACCAGATTCAGAAACTAAAATTTTCATATAAAGAGTTTATTCTTTGGTTCTTTTCTATCCATCCATTTTGGACATCTTTTTGTTACATGACACTTTCTTTCTTCCCTCCCCTCCCCTTCCTTGCCCTCCTCTTCCCTCTCCTTTCTTCCTTTTCCTTCTTACTGTTGAAGCTACCTGATGGTATATTTCTAAGGCATTTGAAATGTAACCAAGATGCACAAGGGATGGGTTCAAGAGTATAAATTGGATGTAAAAAGATGTTAATTTGATGGTTAATTTAGGTAACACACTTCTGAAACTTAATGGTGTTGGAATAAAGGTTAGGAAAAAAAGTAAATGAAACTATATGGTTGATATTGCAAGCTACAATTCACCTCCAGGAACATACAGCCTTTGAAATGGTCTACATACATGTGAGCGCTCCATACTGCAGAGCTTTCTATGACTCTGGCAAGCCCTAGACCCTGGGACCTAAAGTCATTTAATCTTGGCACTTTCCCTTCTAAGTGCATGTTTCATTTATTTAAAGCAGCCAACGACACTACCCATGGCTGGAGAGTGATGCTGTGGTGGCCTCAAGCATTGTGCAGTTGTTCACTGATTGCATTGACTCGCTGCACGAGAGCTTTAAAGGTAGGAAGATGTTACGTCATGTCTCTGGTTGGTTCTCACTTTTCCCCTAAGTCATTCAGTCAGTCTTTTGCCTCCGCTTTCCTACTTTATTTAATTTTATTTTCGTTGGTAGGCAGTCATCTTTGACCAAAGAAAGATCACTCATGCAATTATTGAGTATGAAGTTTGTAACTTCCTGTTTGTGAGGTCATTTGGCATTTCATCAGTTATGGAAACTGCAGGCTTTGTCTTTCAGATATTGTCTGTCTCCCATGTTGAACCTCACTCTATCTTCTATGACTCTGACTTCTTTTTCATGTTCTATCTTTTCATCCTTTATTTTGGGTCAATTATTGAGGTCTCTTTTCCAGTTTACTCAGTCTCTGTAGCTGTAGCTATGTCTAATCTACTTTAAAAAATATCCACTGAATTTCCCATTTCACTTCCTGGAAGTTATATTTGTTTGCAGATCTACCCTGATCCTTGTTGATAGCATCTTACTTCTTTCTCTTGTTTAAAATTCCACTTTTATTTATTTAAAATGTTTAAACGTGCTTACTTTCTTTTATGATCCATATGCAATAATTCCATTACTTTGAAAGTTCCGTTGGGGAGTGGCCTATGCTGCTGTTGGATGTTCCTTGAACTCTTATTCTCAGAAGCTTGTTTCCTGTGTACTTTGTAGTTTTGTATTCTGAGCCCACATTTAGAGAGACATTATCTAGGGAAAGTCTGGAAAGACTAGGATGAGGGTGTGTATCTCCAGAGAAAATCTGTGTTTGCTGCCAGTTGGAACCTCATAATTTCTTGGCGTAAGGTTTCTCACGCCACACACTTATATATGAAACCAAAGTCCAAACTCAGTTTGCAGGCAGGCCTCAGTTATCACGGTAAGCTTTTTCCCTCCACAACTCCGAGTCACGGCAAAGTTTCTTTTTCCCCACTAGTCTGCCCTTTCAGCAAGAGCGTGGTCCTTAGAGGTTCTTGTCTTCTATCTCCATGTGCCCTTCAGTAAGAGGGAGACAAGCAGCAGTAGCCTTCAGACTCCTGTGCAGGCATGATACCTGTGAAAGGAGAGTGGGGAGAACAAGCCTCAGCCTGCGGTACAGCTCTGAGAAAGGCCTGGCCAGCCCAACAGGGGTGCCAGCGCAGAGGTTCCTCACCGAGGGGCCTCACGTTGGGCAGAAGTGTCCAGGCCTGTGCTCAGTTGTTGGCTGAGGGCTGCCTGGGACAGTGTGGCCTTGACTCGGGCACTGCAGTGGCCCCTGCAGGCACTGCAGCTGGATCAGCAAGTGCTCCTGAGTGAACACCTCTGTGGCTGCCACGTGGTTATATGGGATTTAGTCATGGAGTGAACAGTATGTCGTCGGGTATTTTTATGTTTGTGTATATATACAGAGGGTGCCAAAAAAATGTATACACATTTTTAAGAAAGGAAAACTGTGTTAAAATTGTAATACTCAATATATACCGATAACAAAAGATGAATACAAGTCACGTTTGACTTCTGCAATTACAAGAGGTGCTCAAAGTGGTTACCATCAGCGTCCAGACACTTCTGATTATGGCAAACTAACTACTACTTGAGCATAGATAACGTAACATCCCTGAAAATGTGTATACATATTTTTGGCACCCCTGGTATGTATATATATGTCTTTAGTTGTTTTAGAGTGGCTTTAGACAGAATTGAGCAGAACGTGCAGAGAGTTCATATACCCTCTGCCTTCCCCCATGCACAGCCTCCCCCACTGTCACTTCCCCACCAGAGCGATACATTTGTTAGTCGATAAACCTACATCAACCCATTATCAGTGCCATATTCTCAGTGTCTGTTTTGTTTGTTTTTTTTTTAAAGATTTTATTGGGGAATTGCGGGGAGGGGAACAGCATTGGGGAATTGGGAAAGGAGAACAGACAGGTAGACAAATTGCTGTTTTTGTTCTTCAGTCTAGTTGTGGAGGACGTCACTTCACTGGCCCATGTTGGTATGATCATTGTGCTCTTCCCTGGTGAGGCAATCAGTCACTGGTCATTGGTTGGCCACTCACAGCAGCTCACACCAGCTGCCGGCCGCTCATGCTGCCAGCCACTCACGTAGCTCACGGCAGCCCACTGCAGCCCCGCTGCAGCCTACGCCGTCACTGGTGACTCACAGCAGCCCAGTTCCAGGTTGAGCTGTTGTTCACCATCTTAGCTGTAGAGGGCAGCGTCACTGGCCCTCATGTGGGATCCGAACCGCAGCTCTGCTGCTCAGAGCTGGTGCTCCCAAGTGAGCTCTTAACCAGCTGAGCCACTCAGCCAGCCCCTCAGTGTCTGTTTGATAAATATTGGTTCAATGAGTAACACATAAAATGCTAATAATAATCTTTCTTTTTTTTGAAAGAGTCTTCTAGTCACTTTTTACCATCCAAAATATATTTATTGGTGAGAAAAATATTGGAGTATCAAATTATAGTCACAAAGGCTGTATATTTAATTTTGTAGGATTAGGGGCAAGTACTCTCAGGCTCTTGCCTGCGTCTATAAAATAAGAAGGTGGCTTAGGAACAGGAGGGTACATGGATAACGTCAAGAATTGGTAGCCAAGTTCAGAGAGAGGAAGCAAGAATTATGCAAAACAAGATGAAGTATTAAATCATAGCCTTTTAGTGAGGACATTGATCCAACTCTCTCCTTTTATTGATGAGAAAAATGAGGACCTGAAAAGCAAAATGAATTTAGGGTGAGGTCACAGAATTTATTTGTGTCTGGGCTGGGACTGGAAGCTCGGTCTTCTTCTAAGGGATTACCTCCTAGACATCGTCTACCTACAGATCCATCCTTATCGAAACAAAACTACCATTTATCCATATTTAAACAAATGCTACCCTTCAGCCCTGTCTTAAAAGGCTGTTAAAAGCATGTGTTAATGTTTCATGCTGTAGGATAAAGTAAGTACTGGCAATCGAAGGCACAGGAACGTTAGAAATGATAAATTGACTGGGACCGTGTGTTGATGCCCATTGGTCATTTTTGAAACGTGAATGTTGAGAAACACCGTCAGGTTTCTGTTCCTGTGTGTGGCGCGCTCTTCTTTGACTATGCTCCATTCATTTGCCTGGAACCGGAAAGGCTGAAATCATTTGTTTTAGACCAAACCGTTAGCTCCTGAGGCACTAAAGCAGTTGATTTCTTGTGAGGACAATACTGAGTGATCCAGGTTGCTGACTAAAGGGAGGCCTAGAATTGGTTGGGGCTGTGGCGTGTGTATGAGTTTAAAAACCATGTATTTAGAAGTTTTGAAGAAAAACTCGTCACCCTTACTATCTTCCATACACCAGCTGCTTGCTCATTGTAGTTATCCCAGTAAGTAGTTAAAATACCACTCTTTGTTATTAATCTGCCATCATCAGTCCCTCCCATCCCCGCATGTGAAAATCTTTGGAATTGTATAATTATTGAGAATCTTAGATTTTAGATTTTTAGTTCAAATTTGTGTTAGTTATTATCGTTCATTCATTCATTCATTCGTTTTTAAAGGTAAACCACAAGGTCTTGAGCTGTATTTGCTTTTTCAATTTTAGATAAGCTGTTGCCAGGTGATGAAGGAGCCCTTCGGTTACACCTGATGCATTACTGTGAAGCGTGTACAGCACCCAAAATGCCCGAGTTCATTCTGTACGCTTTTCATAGTGCCTACCGGAAGCTCCCGTGGGGGGACCTGCACCCCGACCAGCTGCTCATGGAGGCCTTCTTCAAGGTTAGCCGTTCACTCTCTGCGGCCTGTGCTCCCTTCACTGGGGCTGTAGGCACAGTTGCTGTGTGTGGACTGTGCCCACACTCTATGTTGCCCACCTGGTATTTGTCTAAGCAGCATCCTATGGAAATCATTTCATGGTGTTGGTAGGTGACTGGAAAACATCGCATATTTAAAACCCAGAGAAAGATTTTGTCTCTAGACTTTGGTAATATTGTCCTGTGAGTACATAGTTCAATGGCTTTGTCATGCTCTTCTTGGTGTGTCTGTGTCTGCATATTTTTCTTGGATCATATCATTAGAACTATTTATTGTTAAATGTTCTATTAAAGCAAAATATAAATTGGTACTCAAGCCATTAGTTTCTTTAAGCAGTTGTGCAAAGGAGTCATTAGGTTGGAGGAGATACAAGTGCATTGTAACACCCAATGATGCATCATAATCTATAAAGACCTGAGATGACCTGGAAAGTGCCACTAAGTGTGTAAAGAGTCTTTGCAGTAGAAGCGACAGTTGGCAAAAATCAGACACAGTAGTGCCACATACCAGTCAGGCATTTTTGTTGTTCTTAGTAAATTTCTATTTTAAAAAAACCCCTATATAATCTTAGCTTTATATGATTGTTTCAGTTTATTTGTTTGTAGTTATCAGTTCATTTGTGTTTCCTCTTAATGTCACATTTATTGAGACACCATAAGTACTTAATGACTACAATTCTTTATGACAATTAGTAAAAGGTACTGCAGTTCTTCAGTGCTTTAAATGGAGACCCCACCCAGGGCCGCCTTTGTCAGCCTCTCCTCTGGAGCTTGAGAAAAGCTGAGGACAGCTGTCTTAGAGAAATACAAGGTTAAGCATGATTTTATAGCTCGGTTTTTTCTGGGAGACAGGCACTAAGATGATATCTACTTAATGTCATTCCCTTTATGAACATGGAAGGGAATGTTTGTCTCAAGAGCTCTAAGATAGCATTTAAGGAAGAGAGCAGCCTTACCTATACAACAGATTAAATAGTGCATTATCTGTAGAGGGACGCTGTAGATTCTGTGTTTCCAGGAGTTTTAGTCTAATGATAGATGACCCTGAGCTGCCCGGGAGCTGGGAACCTTTAGTTCTACGTGTCTTGTTGGCATACTAAGGTATATTTTTTGAGGGAGTTGAGGGTGAGGATAGGGAACAGATTATAAAAGATGATTGAGAATCATTTTTAAAAGGAAAAAGAATAAGTAGTTAGTTTATATAAAAGAATAGGTATAATGATGTTAGTAATGGGAGGATTTGAATCATCACCAAATTCCACTGATTGAGATTTTGTCAATGGAGTAGAGCTTTTTAACCTTCATTTTAAAAGGAAAAATATATTGCTAGCCATATTTTATTTTAAACAGACTTTAAATAGGCTCATAAAAGATCACTTTGACATTGATTATACACTTTATAATACATATGCCACACCTCCGATCCCTAATAATTTAAAATAGGATTTAGCGAAATATTGTGTAGTCATCAGAGATTATAAAGTCTACTGATACGGAGATATTTTTATAACATAACATTCCACTAGAAAGGCAGTATAAAAGTATGTATACTAATAGAGTGAGTCTTAAAGTGTGGTTCCAGGACCAGCAGCATCATTACCACCTGGGAACTTGTTAGAAATGCACATTTCTGCACCCACTCTATACATGGCTATTGAAAATTCTAGGGGTGATGCCTGCACAGTCTGTGTTTTAGCAGGTCTTCCAAATGGTTCTGGTACACGCTCAGCTTTGGGAACTACTGACTTGTAGATCTCAACCTTTGTCCTATCCCAGCACATCTGAGGACTGTGGTACACATTCCTCAGCACCAGTGACTAACAAGGCGGGGATTTGCCACCCTGTTTGGAGCCAGGGAAGCTCACTCCTCTTCTGCTACGAACTAGTGGAATAAACAGTGAACTCCAAACAAGACGAAAAATGTACACTTGCATTGCGCATGGAAGGAAAGATGTTACAAATGCTAAGGCTATGTCTCTCGGGGCTAGGATTATGGATGATTTTTGTAATCTGGGGAAGAAATATTATTTTTAAAAATATAGTTTAGTAAACATTGATTTATACACATTTTCAACATACATAGATGGCTTAAAGCAAAACATTGGTTTTGTTTCCTTTTAGGTGGAACGAGGAAGCCCTAAGAGCTGCTTCTTATTTCTGGGGTCTGTCCTCTGTGAAGTCAACTGGGTCAGTGTGCTCTCGGATGCCTGGAGTCCTAGCCCCCACCCAGAGACCCGGAGCATGGTGGTCTGCCTCCTTTTCATGATGATTTTATTGGTAAAGGAAGATCAACTGGTGGACGAAATAGTAAGTTTGGGGAGCCTGTGATAAAACTTGGCATCCTCTGCATCCTCACTTTCTGTGAAGTTGTCATTTGTTGGTTGTCTCTGTAACGTCTCTCTCAGTGGGAAAATATACTTGGCATATCGGATGTGTGTTTTTAACTAGATGCCTGATTTTCTTGGATAGGTCATAATCGAATTGTAGATTATGAAGGGAACCACACTGAGTCAGAATATAAAAATCAGTTTTGTTTTACATCTTATTAATTGCTAGTTCTAACACCAGATCAGAGAGTTCCTTTGAAAACTGGGACTACTTAAAAATTTTAATGTGTTTTTGCCAAGACTTTGCTTATTAATGTCACTGGTGCTCCTTACTTGAGTAGATATTTATTTGACATCTTAACTGTTCTATGCTTATCATAGGCCATCTTAGTGGTCACTTGGTGGGTGAATTAGAGACACGTATTTCTGGAAAAATGGGAGCTTTGGAACTAAAGGAATATGTGTTTCGTTTTTAGGATTCACCTCTACTTAGTCTCCTTGGACAGACAAGCTCACTTTCATGGCATCTTGTGGATATTGTGTCATATCAGAGTGTGCTCAGCTATTTCAGCAGCCATTATCAGCCATCCATCCTCCTGGCGAAGGAATCTTCTGCTGAATTAATCGTGAAGCTCCTAAAAGTGACTGCAGGCCTTTCCATTCCTGCTGACAGCCAGAAGCATCTTGTAAGTTGAGTGAGTGCTTTAAAAGGCACTGGTAATGGCACAGGTGCTACTGAGGACAGTCTTGACCCCGTGACAGCTCATCAGAGAAAGTGGGAGGGGGTCTATCATGTCTACTCATATTTTGGCGTCTAGGATCTTTTATTTATCTCTAGAAAGCCTTTATTTACTAGCAGTGTCACATGCTTACAGGAGGCCGACAGGATTATGGGCTGGCATGGGCCGTTTGGTTTAGTGACCTGAATGCCATTGGCAGCAGAATGGTAGGGAAGTTATGAGTATGAGTTTGAGGTCTGAAAAACTCAGGTCCCCAGCTCACTGCCATTCTGACCCTGGTGTTCTCATCTGAATTGAAACATACTTTGCCTCAAAGTGGTGGTGTGAGGATTAAAGTAGATAATGAACATAAAAGTTTTTGAAAACATTCCTGGCAAGTAATTTGTATGTAGTCAATGTTGTTATTAATGTAGTAAAAAAGGAAGAGTGTCCTACCAGAATTTTGGGGAACAGAGGTTCTAGTCTAAGTGTTAACCAAAGATTTGCATATCCCTAGCAACAGGGCCCTTAGATACACCTGTCATGTGGCTTCTTTCTCTGTCCTCTCCAGTCTCCACCGAGCAGTCAGTGCAGCGCCATGCTCCTAGGGAATACTCAGTTAATGCTGCTTGCGTGGGTTTGCTTGAATGATGCTTTTTTTTATTGTCAGGATGCAGTTCCAAAATGCCGAGCCTTCACTCATCAGATGGTGCAATTCCTCAGCAACCTGGAACAAAATGGAAAGATCACCCTAGCAGTCCTAGAACAGGAAATGTCTAAGCTCTTAGACGATATCATTGCCTTTAACCCACCCGGTAAGTGACCACTGAGAGGTCATGTATTTATTTAGTAAACTAACTCCTGCTGTCTACAAGGCTTATGACGCCAGGAAGATGGTCAAGAAACAGTCAGTCATTCCTGTTTCCAGAGAAGCAGCGACCAGAGAGATGACTGGACCCTACGGACGCTGTGTCATCTCAGCACTGCGGGGAGCATGAGCATTAAAAACTTGAGGAGGGGTTGACACTGTCAGATGCTGGTGTGAGGTTAACTGGATTGAGGGCTAAGTTAGACGGCTGATAACCCCACAGGATGGCATCCTCAGTGTAAGGACGAGCTACAGTAGAAGTAAACCTGCCCCTTGGGGAGGAAAGCAAAAACAATTACCCATTTGACCTCGCTGTTGGATCAGAATTCTATGAGGTGGGAACAAAGATTCCTCTTTTGAAAATTACTAAGTACAAGCTGGTCCTCAGGTTGGTTTGAAGTAAGAATTCACTACCTAGATTGCTCCCAAAATCCCTCAACCTGAGAAATTAATGTAGTTCTGCAGAGGCAGTGCCACCAGATGCCCATCAGAAAGCAGCCACTGATCGTTTTTGGAGAAACCCATCTTCAACTCAGTCCTCAGAGTTCCAAGGAATCTGAACTCACAGGAAAAAAAAAAAAGTCATAAAACATACAAGGAAACAAGGTACCACAGCAAGTCAGCAAAGAACAGCAATCATCAGAGTCAGGCATATAAAGACTTTAAATATTGTCATAATTAACATAGTAAACAAAAAGATACTTTAATATATTTGATGAAATAAGAGAAGTTTGAAAATATCCATAAGGAATAAGGGATTATAGAAATATGCAGCTGTGGGAAAGAATCAGATATGAAATGAAAAATACAAAATTTTTATAAAATATAAAAATTGTAATAAAAATTTAATGAAAAAGTTTAATAGCAGATTCAACCTGTCTGAAGAGAAAACTCGTAAGCTGGAAAATAAATCTAAGGGAAATACCCAGAATGTGGAACAGACAGAGAAAGAAATATAAAAGAGAGGTTAAGGGGTATAGAGGATAGACTGAGAAGGCATAACATACAGCCAGTCATCTCATCAGAATTCCAGAAGGAGAGGAGATACAGATTTAGGGAGAGGCAGTAGCGGAAGAGATAGCAAGGCTGAGAACTTTCTAGGCCTGGATGAAGACTACAATCCTTACATTCAGTAAACCCAGCAAATCCAAAGCAGGATAAATAGAAAGAAATGCACACTGTACACACTATAGTGAGACTACGGCAGCACTGGGGACAGAGAAACAGCTTCTACATCCAGGAAGGAAGACAGGTGACCTACAAAGGAACAACATTTCTGCTGACAGCCTATTTCTCAGTAACACAGTGCTGTGAGGAAACAACTGATAACCTGGAATTGTACACTAAGAAAAACCATCTTCCAAGGAAGAGGATGAAGTAAAGATATTTTTGTTGAAACGGAGGGTGTTTGTTTCAGTAGACATCACTGGAGGAAATACTAAAGCATGTTCTTTAGGTAGAAGTAGGGTGATTCCTAAGTATAAAGCTTGAATTGGAAGAAGAAGTAATAAGCAGAGAAAGTGGTAAAATGTAAACAAAAAATGCCTGTATAAAACTATAATAATCATACATTTAGGGGTTTAAAAAGCAAAACTAAAATTAAATTATATGACCACAGTCTATATGTTAGGAAAGAGGTTGAGTTAAAACATTCTAAGATTTTAGTATTGTTTGAACGGGTCAAGAAATTAAGTTTACACCTTGATCAAATGTGCATGTTAAAAAAATTCTAAGAAATTCACCAAAAGAATAGAAATGAGATATATAATTTCTCAGCTAGTAGAGGGAAATAAAAAAGAATGGCTAAAATATATTTAATCCAAAAATGGCAAGAAAAGCATGAAGAAGGTGAGAAAACAACCAAAATAAGGTGGTCAAATTCAAATATATCAGTAACTAAATGGACCTATGTTCAGGTTAGAAGGTAGAGATTGTCAGACGGGATTAATGAGCATTATCATCCTTCTTTAAGTTGTTTGTAAGAAGTACATCTAAAACATAGGATGTAGGATGAAACTAACAATAAAAAAAAATAAATAAAAAATAAAACAGAGGATGTAGAAAGCTTTTCATAAGGCAACCATATCAGGCAAATATTAAAATAGAAAGCTGGCATAGCTGTATTAATATTAGACAGAGCCAAATGATCTCTAGTGTGTTCTCCTTCCCTGAAGTTGCATGACAAAAATAAATAAGAAATAAGAAACATTAGTAAAAATAAAAGAGAGTCATTGGAAATTGATACAAAATTCAGTTCACCAGGAGGATATAATAATTCTCAACTTATTTGTACCTAATAATGCAATAGCAAATGCATAAAATGAAAATTGACAAAACTCGGAAGAGAAATGTCAAATTCACTCACAGTGAGAGATTTTGACTCACAGTAATTGGAAGATCAAGTAGACTGAAATCAGTGTGACTGTAGGAGGTCTGAATAGCACAGCTGGATGTAGTGGGCATGTGGAGAATGATGCACCTGTTTCAGATAGCTACTGTAAATACGCAATGAGATAATGTACCTAAAGTTTAGCGCCAATTTGGCAAGTCACAACACCCATTGAATGTTAAAAGAAAAATTACAGGCAATACTGGAGAAACTTTTAGAGTTGATCATGTGATTGGGCCATGAAGGTTGAATAACAGCCGACCAGGCAAAGGAGAGATGGGTGTCCTCGAAAGATCTTACTCAGAAGAATGATGGGATCAGATCCGATTTTTAAGAAAACATTTGTTGGCTGTGTTGATGATTAATAGGAAGGGGAGAAGCTGAAATCTGTTAGGAGGCTTACTGTAGTCATCTTTTGTTCCTATGAGTCATAATTAAAAGGTACATTAAAATTAAAATTACTATTCAGCTGAAATTCAGAGATAAGCCTTTAAAGTTCTTCCTTGATAATAAGTAGGTCTTATGATGACACTAAGTTAGGGTTGATTTAATGCTGTGCAAGTGGGTGAATTTGGTCTCCTGGGTGTGATGAGTCTACTCGCATTGACAAATACCAAAGCCTTGGTCTGAGAGAGCTACACTCTATTCCATTAAAAAAAAATTACCCAACTTAAAGAAAGCTAGAAATAATTGGCAAAAATTATACCTGTCGAATAGTTTCTCCACACACTCTCAGTGAAATAGATTTTCTGGTTTTAAATGTAAAGGAATCTACCCTAGTAACTAACTCATTTGCTCTTCTCTTGTAAAATGAA